TGCTAATCGGACTTATATTATGGTAATAGGGGATCTGAGATATTGATAATTTTCTTACCACTAATGATAGTATCCGCAAAAAAATTGAACGTGGGATGTGGTTATTGTGTTCTTCAGCTATCCAAACACACCCGCCAATTTTGACTATAACAACCGATTCGCAGATAAGTTTACTAAATAAAACCTACAAATGATCACTTTCATATGTGTGTACATAGTTGGATTTTACAAAAATATATTAGTAATACATATTTCTTTTCTATAGTACATAAAGTCATTTGTCATTTTCATATATATCCTTATTTTTATCAGTTTCGTTGAAAGGAAGTACTTGGTTTTTCCCCAGTAATAATGCCTGACTAATATTTTGAAGCGTAACGTCGTTTGACAAGAAAAAAAAGTACAGGTTGTTTTTCTTCTTATCAAATAAAAACTACATGTAATGCTTCTTCCTCGTCATTCGTTTGTTTATAAGGTGAAGAGTGTACATGAGTAATTTATTAATGGATGAGGGTAATATTGATCGTGGTCGTATCGTCAATAGTGAACTGGTTCCTGAGGAATATTTCTGTCCCATTTGTCAAGATCTTCTCTGGAAACCACGTTCATGTGCTTCATGTCAACATTTATTTTGTGAAAAATGTCTTCGTATGTGGAGTGAAAACCCTGTTAATAGAGAGAAATGTCCATTTCGATGTCAACCATTTGAAGAACGTCGATGTCCTCCATATGTTCAATCATTATTAAGTAGATTAAATATTCATTGTAGGAATGCTTCATTTGGTTGTACTGCAATTCTTTCGTATGATAAACTAGAACTACATGAAAAGAGTCAATGTCAATATTTAACTCAACGATGTTCTGATTGTGATCAACTGGTACTTCTTTCAAAATTTAATGAACATCAGCAAACAACTGAATTATGTGTTCCACAACCAATTAAATGTACCATTTGTCAGACTTATTTTCCCAAAGCTTTGCTTCAAAATCATTTTTATCAATGTTGTGAGATGAAAATTAATAACTTAATTGAGAGAACAAATGCTGATCAAACTTTACAACTGACAGCAGATGGACAACAAATACCAATGAATCCTGGACTCGCATTTATTCAATCTATTGTTACTAGTATTCAATTAGTCGAACAACAAAAAAAATTCTCCCAATTACCAACAAGTTTAAAAGGAACCGATCCAATTAGACGAGCACAAGAACAAAGACGTAATCCTTTCTATCGTCTATTACTTATGTTAAAATTTCTTGTTCTTAACTGGTCTAAAGCACCTTTCTTCATGTGGACATTTACTGTGAGTACTTTTATGATATTTGCTATGTTTGCTTTTGGTTGTTTTATTATTTTATCAAATTGGAGTTATAGACGTCTTCATTTTGGAATTTTCCTTCTGAGCTTATTCAGTTATTTTTTAAGCTATGGAACTTATTTTTTACTTCAAACGATATCCGATACGAACATAATTTTCTATGTTGGACTTTGCATGTTTTTATGTGGTTGTATGATGAAAATATCGTTAGAGGTAATGGAAATGAGTCCCTTAATGAATAAACCTATAATATGTATTATCTGCTGTTGTATTGGCATATTATTAATGAAAATAATATTATTACTAATTAGATTTTATTATTGGTTAATGCCAATATATCTAGCTGCAACTATTTTTACTCTTCTTCATTGTTTTTTGGCATGTACATTCTATCGTGTTGCTGTACCTATAGCTGCGCAAACACCACCAGCAAATCAACCAACAATGCCTGTTTAAAATAACAATGGCACACTCGCAATTTACAAGACTAATTTTTATTCTTTTTATATATTCTTGAATTTCATAATAAAGTTAAAACGTATTATCGAAGTTGCGTGTAATTAATATGATTTTATGTTATATACAAGATCGATTATTTTTCATTTAGATTCATTTTCAATAACAAATTCATTCGGATCGTTTTAGAAGAAGAAAATATCGATCACTACAATATTAGGTTATTGCCGTGCTGAAATTAGACAACGCATTATGTTTGTGAGGGTGTGGGTGTGAGTGGGACTGATTAGAAATGCACTACTCACACGCACATCCACACTCATGCTTTTATAAAATGAGGGTGTGGATGTTGTCTTTAATTGATATATATATATGCCTATACTCTCTAATAATTAACCAATATACATATCAATAGGATTTATTTTAGTCGCTTTATTATTTTTTGCTGTTCTTTTTTACGTATTCTTTGGTATCCTAGTAGAACGTAATAATGAGATAGGTATGGTCACATGTATATTTATCTCTGTTCTGTTTCTGCCTATATATCTGTTATCTAACCATTGGCTCGTTTACTTAATATCATTCTTTCATTTTTCGTCTTACATGTATTTGGAGTACAATCCTCTTATTGTAAAGAACGCAAAAACGAGTTGAATAGAAGTATCTATTTATATACAACCAACGTTCTTTGAGTGAATCTGTTCAATAACTGTATAGCTATCAATGCATTGGATTATGTTGTATCTTCATATTACAACTAACGAGTATTTGTATCGTGACTGTATGAAAAAGCTATGAAGGTATATATTATTTAGGCAAACGAGTAAATATTTATATTTTATTATTATAACGTCGCTATCATGACAAACACCACACTCGATTCATTACTGAAGACTGATTTTGAACAGAATCAAGTTCTGTGGAACAACCTCCAATTTCATTCGCATAGTGCTCATCATCTCGGTGCATTAGCATCACTAGGTGCCAGTGATCAGCAACTCATGGATATTTATACAAACACTATGCGCAATTACGCCGAAAAGTATGAACCATCACCACACGAAATTACTGATGAAAATTGGCGTAACTCTCTTAGTGATCGACGATTCTGTATGGCTTATCGAGATTTCTTTAATAAAAAACTACCGACGCAGGGTGATTGGAAAGGTGAATTCTTCAAATTGCTTCTTGACGATAAAGATGGACTACCACTCATTGATGCATCACTTAGTGGTTTGCTTCATCCGATTATTCATATAAGTTACGCTATAGACTTAAACAGTCGACCGGTAGCATGTGAAGCCTTAACTATGACAGCCGTATGTGTTGATAGTTTATATAAACCGCCTGCCAAATTAGAGCCTCCAGCAAACGGAATAAAAGGTGCTCTTCAAGTTATGAAGGAGATACGTTCAGAAGATTATGCACCAACCTTAGATGAACCAGCCCAATTTGATAGTGTATTAAAGAATGAATCTCTTCTTCTCGCATACTATAACGAATGGCAAATGCCGGCAGATCTTGACAAGGCAATCGAAGAGTTATTTGACATGAGTGTCTATATCTATGGTGCTACACATAAACCTGACCAAATCGATTTTGACTTCGGTCTCTTGCATCTCCTAACGGGAATGAATGCCATTCGAACAATTCAACCATATTTAGATGAAAACACGGTCAAAAGACTTCTCTGTTGTTTCTTCTATTTATCTCTGGTTATGTATATCAGTCAACGTCAACCAAAAATTAATGAACATTTAATCAATGATTATCAGATCGAAGAAGATAAACGTAATTGGGAATATGTCGTTGATCGAACATTACATACGAAACTAGCAACAGAAGTTCATTGTGTTAAGGTTATTCGTACATTAAAGGATGCCGAAGCAAAGTATGGATCAAAAAATGGATTCTACTTGAAAACTGCTATTAAATCAGTTGATAATTTAAATGTAGACAAACCATGGAACTATTATAAATCACATGAACCATGGATTGGAATGTCCGACGCAGATCGAGAATTAAATGTGAAACACTAACTTCTATGTACTAAAACTGACAAACTTACTATATATTTCAGCGCCTAATTGTAGAAACACTGTTTAATTAACATATAAATAAACACACAAAGAAAAATGAATCTAGCTTTGTTTTTAAATATACTGTCATTTACAGATATTATTTCTTTCGTTTATATCTTATAGCTACACATTCGTGTTGAGTATTTATTCATTGTAGATAAACTTTAAATTTATTTTATGCAAGTTATAATAAATCATGCGTCGGTAACCACATACTAGAATTCTTCGGACATATTTTGTTACTCGAACTTCATCGTCACAAAGTTCATCATAAAGATAACGACAGTTATTTCAACACTAATTTTGTGATTGACAAAAGCAATCAATTATCGCCTTAAATTTGTGTTATAAACCTAAAAATGTGTGATCTTTAACGTTTAAATAGTTATCATTTTTCAACACATTACTACTGTTACAACTACATTAATCTCTAGACGATGAGATTACGTTTACGAAAGCAAAAGAATGTTTTGAATCCTTGCGGTATATGATTACTCATATCAACATAAAAAATAGCTTACAGTACTTTAAAATATCATAATCTTGAAAACAGCTGAAAATATAAAAGTCCAACATCATATCTCGAGAGTATGAGTGCGTGTAGATATTATTTTCTTCATCTTAACGCTTACATACAGCCCACGTCTTTCATACTCAAGGGTAGGTCCCCCGGTATCTCAGACATTTTGATGAAATGATGTGAGTTTGTCATGTGAAGTTAGTCTATCTCAAGTAAGTAACAATTAGCAGCTACAACTGTGTCTGTAAAAAAACCTTTTTATCTCCAGGTTTCTATCATCATTATCACTTTATTTTCTTAATATCCATCTTTTCTGAGTTCCGATATTCGTGCGCCTTTTCGATCTATAACAATGTGATTCCTTAGAAATCTTTCTTTTCGATACATAATTCATAAACGAAATTATAAAGATTGATACAAATGTATATATTTTTTATTTGTCAAAAGATTCTTATTCGTTTTTTTTGTTATCAAGTTGTCATACAATTCTGATCATATATGAGAGAAAACAAACACAAAATCAATTTTTACAAATGACAGATATTCAAAACCGATACAAAGAAAACGAGAGAAAAAAACAATATAGAAAAAAAAATTAATAAATATTAAAAACAATCATTGTTACGTTGACTCTTCTTTATTCTAAAAAGAAAAATTAATTTTAAAAGAAAAAAAAGTCTATAATTTTTGTTTAACTTACAACAGAAAGCATTAAAGGACGTGCTGTTGATGTAGGTTTTCGTGCACTACCCGTTGTAGTTATAGAGTCACTTGCACTAACCATACTTGCTATTGAATCAAATGATGTTGTTTGTTTACATGAATTTGAATGTCTTAGAATTGGTTTTGTTGATGTTGATATTGGTTCTTTTTCAACATTTTGTAATAGATCAGGAATATCAATTGTTTTTGATTTATTAGCTGAAGTTTGTTGTTGTTGTTGTTCATCATTTGAAGGATCATGAGTTAAAGATTGATCATCTTGATTTGTTTCTGTTGAGGACGGATTATCAGTTGTAGCTCGTTTTGATTTTGATGGTGTCGCTTCAAATCTATGAATAAGATCTTTTAATCCTGATGCACGTCGTACTAATGTTGAACTTGATGGATCAACAATTGGTGTTACATTCACAAGTTTTTTCGGTGTACCATTGGTTGCTGATGTTTTGGGTGTTGTCTTTTTCAATTCAACTAATCGACCACGCTGTTTAGATGCAACTGGTGGTGGTAATTTTGCTTTACTTTCTTTTGTTTCTATTGGTTTTGATGGAGGTGCAGGTGGAGGCGGTGGCGGAGGAGGAGATGGTGGCGGTGGTGATGATGAATCTTGTTCGATAATAACAGTCTCTTTCGAACGAAAACGGAATGGTGATCGATGTCTTAATGTTTTCAATATTCCTTTTGATGGTCTATCTGATTTTCTTACTGTTGGTTCTTTTGTTTCTAAATCAATATCTTGATCAAGAAAATGAACAGTGGCTGATGTTGCTGGGGATTTTTCTGGTGATTGTGTACGAAAACGAAAACGACGACTTAATGAAAAAAATCGATTTTTTGAACTTGTTGTTGGTGATATCACGGAATTGATTGATGTATGCTCGTTAGATGATGATGATGGAATATGTTCATGACTAGTATTTGCATTATCATCAAAACGAGAACGACGTTGTGATATTTGATTAACATTTTCTGGTGGAGCAGAAGCTAATCGTTTATTATTCGTTGTATTTGATGTATGATTAACAATATTCGTAAAACTATCATCACGTACGACTGATGCACTTTTTTCAGATTTACTAAAAAAATAAAACTAGTCGATTTTATTAAATTGAATTAAAACTTACGCTCGAATAAAATCCATAAAACGTCGATAAGAAAATAGATTATCTTCGACACGATCAATTTTCATTGCAATCTAAAAACAAACGTATCATATATATATATATTATTTACATAATTCTATAATTAATTACTTCTTCAAGGCTTGCAGCAGTATTCTCTTGAGCAGAATACGTTTTCTTAAATAATTCTTGTTTATAATTATCATGAATTGATTTTGTTAATACTCCTGTATCATCAATAGTACCAGCAATTTCATTTGTATTAACTATTTGTCCATCAATAGTTCCATGTGGAAGATCAATATCATCACATAATGTTTCACGACTAAATGTGGATAAACTTGTTTTAGTTGTTATTTCATTATGAAAACTATTCAGAGATATCGGACCAACACTAATATCACGAATATGACGTTCATTATCATCGCCAAATTTGATCTATAATATTTAAAGAAAAAAAATAATTTTATATTCCATGAATAGATATACATGATAGAACTTAATCTTGATAGTATTTTTTGCGTAGATAGGATTATTATAATTAACAAACAGACCTAATAATGATAGACAGATACTGAGACTAATCGATAACAATTGACCTATACCCAGACATGTACCAAACCCAAGCCGTTTGGGATTGATGTATATCTCTCTATACTTAGTAAAATTAATATTTTCAGTTATATGATCTATCCTACATATGTCTAAGCTTCTATTTTCATTTTCTTAATGATAAACTCTAGTTACATATAGCAGATATCGATTATCTATGATAGACTCTTTTTCGCTCTACCTATAATAAACTTTAATATCAAGGGTAAACTAAATTCAATTTAGCCAAGGTTGAATTAATTCGATGATATTTATGTCAATTTGAAATATTATGTTGATTTGTTTAGTCTAATAGTTAATCTACCTGTTTTTGTAATTTATCAAATTTATTTAATATCGATTCTTTAGTAAATTGATGATGACGTAATTGTGCATATAAATCACTTTGTTGTTTTCGCCAATAATTCCAATCGGAAGAATTTTTATCACGTAAACGTTGCATTTCTGTTTTAAGTAATTGAACATCGTCAACAATATTTTCAAGTTCACGAATTTTATTTAATAATAATTCATTTTCTGTCATTAATACATTTATTTTTTCAGTTAAATGACTAGGAGATTCTCTATTAGCTATTTGTTTTTGCATATCTTTTAATGTTTGTTGAGATATTTGTAGTTGTTTTTGTAAATCATTTCGTTCTTTTTTCCAAACAGTTTCAAGATCTTTCCGTTGACGTTTTGTTACTTTAGATAATTGTTCTTCCAACTAAAAAAAAACAAAAGATTTTTTTCGTCTATAAAAATCAATTTCATTTCTATTTACTTCATTAATTTTCCCATTTAATTCAACTCGTTGAATTTCCCATTGTTGTTTATCAATAGTATATTTATTTTGTTTTTCTTGTGAATGAACTTCAAGATCATATAATTTCTGACGAAGACGATCAACAGCATTTTGTAATTCAGTTTTCATTTTAATACTTTCATCATACTTGAAATAAGAATAATAAAAATAAAAAAAAAGATATATATATGAAAATTTTACTTTGCGTTGTTTATCAGATATATCAGTTTTATGTCGTGTCCATGATTGTTCATCAGCATCATATTTATTTTGTAATTCTTTAAGTTTCTTTTCGAGTTCTTTTATTATTTTTAAATAATCATCTTTTTCATTGGTCAATTGATTTAAACGAAGTTTATAAGATTCAATTTCACTATCAATTATTTGTTGATGACATTCAGATTTAACACGAGTAATTTCGTCTTCAATTGTTGATTTTAATGGTACGGCACGATCCTATAGATAAATAATCAAATGTAAGAAATATATTTTGTTATAATTTGAAGATGTAGGCGTGGGAGTGGGTGATAGGGAGCTGCGAAGTACTTCAAAACCCGATTATGACTCCGACGGAGCCAGAGTCCGAGTCAAAAAAGTTGACCCCGCAGGTCCCTACTGGGTGTGGGCTTGCATAAAGAAAGGATTTACCCAAGCCCACATCTACTCACACTCATTCACCCACACCCACTCACCCACACTTATCTACACTCACCCACACCCACTCACACTCACCCACATCCTCCCGCACCCACACTCTCAAGACTACAAAGATAGAACATACATGTTGTTGATTTGATCGTAAAGATTCCAAATCAAATCTAAGCATTTCTTTTTCCACATTAAGTTTTTCAATTTCTTTTGTCATTGCTATAATTTCTTCTTCTAATTGTTTTCCTAATGTATGATATTTTGATTCTAATTCACGTAATTCTAATCGATGTTTTTGACATTCTTTAACTTTTGTTTCGATAATATCTTCTTTTTCAATAACTTTCAATGATAATTCATTAACACGTGTTTGTTTTTGATCAAGTTTTTTTTCAAATGTTAATATTGATTGACGTAATTGTTCAACATGTTTTAAATCTTGTAATTGTTTTGCATTTAATGTTGATAAACGTGTATTTTCTTGTTGTAATTCATTATTAACTATTCGTTGATGTTCAAGTGTTTTTTCTAATGTTTGATTTTTATTAATATGTATATGTAATTGTTCTTCAATTTGTTTTGATGAACTTTGAAGATTATCAAATGATTTTTGTAAACGATTAAGTTTTAATTGTTTTTCATCAAGATTCTTTTTTGTTATATCAAGTTCTTCTAATAAACCGCATGTATCATTTGCATCAACCGTTAAATTTGTTAAACGATAACGAATCTTATCAAGAATCGTAAGTTTATTTTGTAAAAGATCAAAAAGTTCTTTAGCTTGTTGAACAGTTTCAGATGTTTGTTGAGTGGCTTTTCTAATATTTGATTGATTTGGAACTTGTTCTTCCTAAATAAAACATAATGGAATTATTAAAATGTATATATATATCAAACTCTCACAATAAAAAAAGAATGTTCTATACGATTTTGTATGATATAGGATGTGCACTCAGATCGGATAAACCAATTGTAAGTCTAATACAATCAGACGGAAAATTGTCGTCTCAGATATCATATACTAAATCCTATTAAAAAGATTCGTGCTGTGAAATATCACAATAAGTCTGTAGTATAAATAAAGTGCATCTAAGATCTTGTAGTATGATCTGATGTAAGATTTCGTTTGGTTGATAAGATCTCAGATCAGATTATAGTTGGCTTTTACCTTATAACCAGGACAGAAAGTCAATCAGATATCGAATTCCTACGGTCATTCAGCTTTTTATATACATAGAATAAGTAGATATATATATACTAGTTAATGTGTGATATAGACCGTATGATTATGTACTTGTGTTCTAAGACAAACTGTTTTCAGAGTTTTTCTCATATAACCGTAATAAAAGAGTCATCAATATCAATTTAATATGTAAAACACTTATGATGTAATATTTTGATAGACTAAGATTTTACATATAAATATGTATTTTTGTTTGGTTCCCAAAATATCTTTTTAAATCAACGGCTAATTAATGTAAGATCTTATCTTCTGTCTATTTGACGTGGGTAGTTGATAATGATTTAGCATTCTATATCGAGACAGCTAGATGTATCTTCTTTTCAAGACAGACATTCCAATGTGTTGTAATATCTATTATTTATATTCTATATCATCCAGTAACTAATGTATTTTTTACATTAAGAAGAATACATTAATAAATAAGTAGAATATACATTCTTCAAAGACTTTTCAATTACAATACAATTAGGATTTTATCGGAATGCACTGATCATTTTATTGAGTACTCAATAGTATTGACGGAGTTAATTCTATCCAGATGTTGTTTAGATCAATCAAAATAATATCAACTGACGACATCCAGATATTTTATAGATATTATATAGTTTCTATTATGGTAGTTTACAAGATTTTCCATATGATGATCTTTTGTTATTGTAATTATACACAGCATATACTATCAGAGAAATACATAGTGTAATTTTGTTCGAAGTAATACAATCCTTGAATTATTACTGAGAAGTTTTTACAAAATCTAATCATTAAGTTTGTTTATATATATATATATTACTTAAAGATTTTCTTCTCAATGCTATGCTTTAGAATAAATGTTTAACATACGGTTATTTCTTTGCTCCATCTTGTTGAACGTAATAAATGTTGTAAATCAGTTACAGCTTTTTCATCTGTTTTATTTTCTTTAATATATGTTGTTAGAGTTTCTATATAGATGGAAGAAATAGTTAATTTTAATTACAAATCAAATAAATTTTTACCAATTTTATTTGTAAATATTTGTAAATCTTTACTAATAACATCATCGAGACCTTGTTTTGATTGTTGATCAAGTTTAACTGATAATGTTTCTTTTTCTAAAACTGAATTATTTAATTCATCTTCTAATCTTAATAATTTATTTTTTAATAAACGAATTTCATCAAATGATGCATCAAGTTGTTCACGTAAATTTCCTCCACCATCAACACTCATACCACGTTTTGATCGATTATTAATATTATTTTCATTATCCAATGAAGAATTTGAATTTCGATCAACACTTTGACTACGTTGTTTTAATATTTTACATTGTATACGTAATTGAGATATTTCTTTATCTCGTTCATCCATATTATTTTTAAGATTATATATTTCATCATTAAGAATAACAATTTTTTGTTGATATGAATTCATTAAATCCGATAGATCAGTTTTATTTGTATTAGAAGAATTTTTTGAATTAGCATTTTTCGCATTTAACCATGTTAATTCTTCCATAAGAATATGTTCACGAAATAATGATTCATAAAAATAAACAAATATTTGCCATGATTGATAATCATCATGTGTATTCTAAATAAAATGGTTTAAAAGAATGATTAGAAAACTCTTTTTTTTGTTTATTCATTTACTTGATTTAATTTCTCATCAAGAGATTCTTTAAGTGTATCTAAATTTTGTTTGAGTGAATTATTAAGTTGTTCAGTTAGTATTCTTGATTCTTCACTTCGTTCAAGTTCACCATGTAATCGAACACTAACTTCTTTTGCAATAAGTAATTCTTCATCTAATTCACGAACACGATGATTATCGCGAATAATTTGTTGAATTTTTTCTAAATTATCATATAAATAAATAATTAGGAAATATTGATTTTATCTTCAAGAGTACCAGCTACGCTATGTGTGCAAAATCACTCTCAATAATATATATGATCAATTTTCGTATGCTTACATGTCAGTAGAGGATCAAAGCAGTTAGAATAACAAACTTATGTTGCATCTAGATATATATATATCCGGAGTCTGTTTCTAACTGAAATATGATCGTTTAAGAAAGAACATTTTAATGACGAATCAAAAACAACACGCATACAAAATATTAAATTAAAAGATCACAAAAATCTCTATTTACTATATTCATTAAAAATTGCTTGTTCGTAGTAGAATTCGATACTTTTTCTTAATTTATATTTATGATTTCTACCTGACTTAGCTAATAATATTCTCTTGTTCGAAACTTGAATTTAAAATATGTTCTCTATTAAATCTCGATCTGCAAGATAATGTATATTCGTTATTTATTTTGATTCTGTCGAGTATCAAAATATTATAGGAAGCCTTTGATATAGAACTAGTCGTATTTGATTATATGAACAATATATTGTAATTATATTACGTAAAGGTCGAATTCATAGATTGTTGGTTGTTTTAAGTCAACAATCAATACTTGTCAAGGTTAATATATAATCGATTTGATTAGTATAGATTACTAATGTAAAAAGATCAAACACAAAAGTCTATTTGATCTTTAAAAAAGATTGAATGAATACTTAAAATTGCAAGTCGTTTTTTTTCTTCTCCTCTTCTAATAGAACTGATGATCATATCATAATTACTCTTTTTTGATATTAATTTTAATCCTGTTTATATATCATTGAGAATTTTTATTATCACAACAATCTTTCAGATGATAGTTAAAACAACTTTATGTATATATATATATAAAATAGTATTGCCTAATGCAAAATCAATAAATAATGTAAGTCTTAGATTACAAAAAAAATAATTGTTTAGAATTTCTAACAAAATAAATCTAAATTTTACCTTCTAAAACATCTTTTTCAGCTTCAGTATTTTCATTACGTTTTTCTGCTTTACGTAATTTAAATTGAAGAATTCGACAATTTTTAGCTAGAAAATATATAAAACATATGTAAAATCAAAAACTATAATTATCTATTAAACAAACCAGCCACTTCAAGTTCTGCTTGTAATTGTTTAAATTCTTCAGCATCTTCTGTACGAAATTGATCTGTAATCTCATCCATTTCCTAAAACAACGACATGAATAATAAATACTAGAATAGAAATTTTTTTCTGCTTCATTTCAACAGAATTATCATTCAATTGAAGCATTTTTTTTTTCTTTTTTTTTCTCCTCTCAAGGGTATTCATGAAAAGATCTGTGTCATCGACATATCTATTTCAAGTATATCTCTTTACGCATTTCATGTCCTTATCAAACATGCTAAGGATTTGATGTATAAATCGCACAGATGTCATCATATGATTATATTATCAATATCGATTGAGCATGTCCAAAAAAGTCATGATTTACTATTATGAATCAATAGAAAAAGAAAAAAATAATAAAATACATACGCGTCGTATATCATGAAGTTCTTGTCTAAGTGCATCATTTTGTTGACGAAGTGCATCGCATGCAATAATTGGATCAGAACTTGTAATATTGATACTTTCTAAATAGGCATTTAGAGAAACTTAATGTATTATTCCAAGGATAATAACTCATCAATCGATGAACTTATCATAGATAAAAGGATGGTGCCTAAATATATTGACTTATTTCTATTCTGTTATATGATGAATAGAGGTATTGACAATCTGTTAGGTAATTTGATCGTTATTATGTACAATGATGATAGGTAAATCCATAGTGATCGATAAGGAAATTAATAGCTGTCAACATTAAAATGTATCCCTCTCACATCATTTCAAGGTTCTTTAGTTTTATTGAAAGACAAGAAACCATATATATCTTATTTTTTCATTATTGTCTGTCAAATTATTCTCCTTGAGAAGAAAAAAATGATCGAGGTTAGTTTTTACATATAGATGTCATATATATATATAATAAAGAAAAGTCATAAATATGCAAAAATAAACAATAAACAATCAATATTGTGTCATTACTCGCAGTTGTATATCAATATGGAAACATCTCTCTGTTGCTGATATATATCTATATGCAGAACGAGAGAGAGAGAGTGGGAGAGAGAAAGAAAAAGATTGAAGAGTGCTAAGATTAATGATGAACAATGAACAGATGTGTATATACGAGTTATTGAAGACTATCTGGTCTATAAGACAGAAAAGGTCAGAATCTGTTCGAGTTACGTGATCAATAAAGAAAGCGAATAGGCAAGTCTATTCAATAGTATCATCGATTAGTATAACAGAAAAACGAATTTATACATAAGATCAAAGAACAGTCAAATAGGAAGAGTACGATAAAAAATGATTTATATTTTTCCGCTATATTGTTTTTTTTTATAAATGATGCATTAAGTCAAAAAGATAATGTTAGCTTTGTTTAATATTTAAAATAAATTCATTTTTATATTATAAAGTCGTCATATTTTTTTTCTTCTTCTAACAACATATTAATGTCAATTTCTATATATAGAAGTGTCCATGAAAATGATTGACAGTTCGTTCTGTTTATATTCAATACTTACCTTTATTATTATGAGATTGTTTGAGTGGTATAATATTATCATCATTTGTAATAGAAGTTTTTATAGTACCATTAATATCAGTAGAAATATTATTGGTAGATTTTTTAATAATAGTAGCCATTAATAGAAATTGTATAAATTGTAAATGAACAAATTGAAATATATTATTTTGTAAGTAAAAATAAGTCACGCACGATTGCGTGATTATAATAACATGGAGAAACTAACTAATATTATTATTGAAGAAGACAAAAATTGTTCAATACAGTATTCGTCTTTCTTGTTCTCTTAGTTTCTATTGATTCTTCTTCCTTCTCCTCCTCTTCTTCGTATTATTTTTTCTTACTTTTTTTCCTTTCTCCTTCCCTTTCTCTCTCTCTCTCTCTGTGTTTCTATCCGTTTTTCTTTTGCGTCTGACTAGTAAATTGCGTACTACAAAAGACAAACGACAATACAAAAGTATTATGAGAATGAATAATACGAAGACGAGGAAGAGAAATAACTGTACAATACGCACATACGTATATACATTAAATAGTTAGAGAAAATGGAGAGTTCTTCTTCTTTTTTTTTCTTTCCTTACTCTCCTTTTTTCGCATTTCTCACTTTGCTGCCAACGCGTGCAAAAGAAAGCAAAAGTATATATATATATATATGCTTGCATTATACTACCGTATACACAAGAGAGATAGTCAAGAAAGAAAGAAAAATATATTTTATACATATAGATGCACAGAAATGATGGAATTTATCAGACTATTTTTGTGTTCTTTCATGCACTTTTGCCGTTACTATTGACTGATGATATCGGAGATGAATCCAAGATGATGAGACACATACATCATCCCTCCCATTGTGCATCAAAATTTTGCTGCTAACGATGATTACATCGTTCAGATCAACGATGCGGTCAAGAAATGCTGTTATTTGATAGAATGTTATCAATTGTGAATTGATTAGTTTTAAGGCACGGATACACACATTAACAGTCTACGTTTTTCTCTTTATTATTCGGTCAATAGTGTAAAAGATGTTCTGTTGATAAATAAGTACATTCTTGTAATTCCTTAAGCAAATATAAGTCTGTACAAAAAAAAAAGTCATGTTTGATTATCTATATGAATGATATTATATTGTTTGAATTT